TATATATATATTTGCTTGGAAGAATGAATGACTAAATAAATAAATGAGTGAATTCAGCTTGATATGTACACAGGTCAATTCTCCAGACCCATGACCACAGCTATAATTTCAGGAAGTTTGTGACTTGCCATGATCAAAGTAGTGAGAGGACTAAAGAAATCAACAGAGGAAATCAAAAAGGTTAGTGGGACATTGATCAGTTGTCTTATCTTTTTCATATGTTGTCCATATATTCAGGGTGATTGTCTTCATAAAAGATACACACTGTATTAACCAGCAGGAAAGCTGAATCATGGATTGAATTGCTTAATCAAAGCAAGGGAAACAACATAGAGTTTTGCACTGAAGGAGGTGATGGAGGGAATTGGAGGAAGCAAATTGTTAAAAAGCCCCCAACCATGAAGGGGTTTGCATAACACTGGCTGTTTCTGATAAAGCAACATGTTCTACTTGGGGAAGAGTTGCTTTGTTATTATAGTTGTTGTTTAAATAGTACCCAGTGTTTTTGTTTTAGTTCTAAGACTAAGTTGTTTGGCTTCAACACATTTTTTTTTTTTTCCTTAAAAATAGTACAGGATATTTTTGAGGAAATGGAGCTTTCAGAGGAGAATCCAAGGTGTGGGAAAATGAGTAACTACATAGGAACCATGGCAACAAAGCAAAGGGCTCCTTCACTCTCAACACACTCACATGCATACATACTCACACTCCTGCATATTCACCTTAATACACACATATGTTCACACACCTTCCACAATCACTTCCACATTCACTCACACCCCTCACACTCACTCACATACACAACTCAAACTTATACGCACTCAGTCATACACACACACGTCCATATTCACACATACTTACACTCATATGCACTCACACTCATACAGTTCAACCCACATACATGCTCACACACACCCCTCACACATACATACACTTACATGCATAAACACCCCACAGTCTCACACACACACACCCTTCTCCCTCACATGCAGTCATTCCCCTCTCACTCAGATACATAACTCTCTCACACACACATACTCCCACATATTACACCACACATACACACAGAAGCTGTACCCACCCATTCACCATCAAGTTCTCCTCTAATGTAAACATCCTCTAAAAGTGAAAGGGCACCTCACCTTTCCCCAGATACAAGAGAAGTGTGCTCTCGCTTTGCTCAAAGGCTAAGTGGGTTATAGTTGGGGTTTCCTTTGGTGCCAAGACCTGAAATTTCCCTCCCTTTAGTGGCTGGGTGTCCTTCTCACCTGGTTTCCCCTTATTGCTCAAAGGAAAAAAAAAAATCAACAAAAAACTGCCACATGCACACTTGCTTCCTTTCCCCAGTGAGATGTGATCTGAGTTGCACAACAAAACACGGATCTAAATATCTAGTCTGACATTTCAATGAGCCCCTTGTGCCGCTCACTGCACCACCCCTTCGAATCCCCCAGGCCTGCCAAGGAGTGGCAGCAGGTTCTACATTCTGAGGAGTGGGATAGGCGGTGTTCAAAACAGAGGCAGCAGTGAATCAGCCCCAGAAACACCCCACCAACAAATGACATGTTACCTGAAATTTCCTTAATGGAATCACTTCACCTTTCTAGACCTCAGTTTCAATGGCTGTAAAATGAGGGGTGGAACTGGATTCCAATTAACGTCCCTTTCACTCTGGTCGTCTGTGATTCCATTACCCAAAGCAGGACTGCTCATCTCAGTAACTCCAGTCTGTTTTCATCCCTACTCCCTAGGGAGTATCCCATTTAAAGCCACTGAAACAGCCCAGATTTGACAGAACAGGACTTAGTCCTTTAACTGCCTGGTAAAATTTAAGAGTGGGACCAGAATTTCTTAAGTGTCCTGTCTGGCTGGAGAACCACTGGGCGTTTTGAAGTTGCCCTGTCATGACTACTATCTGGCACCAGGTTGTAGAAACTTCTAGCATTTTCATGTTTTTTTTTCCTTATATGGACTAGTTCTAGTCCAAAACATCCTTCTTGGGCCTACTACTATTCTGGCTCCACAAAAGGAAAGATTTTCTAATGATAAGAGATGTCCGGGAACTCTGGTAGCACAGTGCCTAAGGCACTTAACCGCTAACCAGAAGGCTGGCAGTTCAAACTCACCAGCCACTCCTTGGAAGAGAGATAGGGCAATCTACTTCTGTTGTGATACTGCCTCAGAAACCCAAGATGGGTTCACTATGAGTAGGGTCCGACTCGATGGCACATAACAACAACAACAAGAGATGTCCAAGCACATCATGGGCTGCCTACAAAGTAGGATCTCACTGTTCCAGAAGGTCCCATTAGAGACATCTGTCTGTCCTGTCTGTCTGGCTAGAGCAGGAATGTCTAAGATGAGAGGAAAGATGAGTTACTGTTGTTGTTAGCTGCTGTTGAGTCAGTCCTGGTCTCACGGAGATCAACGCACAACTGAACAAAATGGTGTAGTGCCATCCCCAGGATCAATTGTGCATTAGATCAAGGGTGAACTGGAAGAACAATTAAACCCAACCAAAACCAAACCAGCTTCCACTGATTCCAACTCATGGCAACCCCATGTGTTGCAGAGTAGAACTGTGCTCCATAGGGTTTCCCATGGCTATGAACTTTCAGAAGCAGATTGCAAAGCCTTTCTTCCAAGGTACCTCTGGGTGGTACCAACCTTTCAGTTAGTAGTCAAGTTCTTAACCAATTGTTTCACCCAGGATGCCGGAAGAATGTTAACATCCTTTCTAATTCCACCATCTCATTTTAGAACATGAGGCTTGAAGACTAAGATCAAAATGAGCAGGAGAGAATAATTTGCATATGCAAGTTTGCTAAGCATTACCTGTGGCTAACAAGATTTCACTCTGATACTAAGAGCTCTGGTAGCATAGTGGCTAAAGGCACTTGACTGCTAACCAGAAGGCTGGTGGTTCAAACCCACTAGCCACTCCTTGGAAGGAAGGTTGGGCAATCCTACTTCCGTAGTGATACTGCCTCGGAAACCCAAGGAGGGGTCGCTATGAGTCAGGGCTGACTCGACGGTTCATAACAACTAGTTTCAGAGTGATCATGCTTTTATAAACTCTGCTACAATGAGAAGCACCATCTGGCATGGAACTGGGCTTTTATTTTATTATTAAGATAAAGATACATGATGCATTAGCCATTTAATTTTACCTTGGTGTCCCTAGTGATTTTCTGTTTGTGTCCTCTCATTTACTGATCTCCACATAGTCTAGTCAGCTATGCAAATCATCACCCTCATTCAGCTGAGAGAAATTCTTGGGTAGAACGGGTGAAATAAGACTAAAGCAACATATCTTCTAGATTACTGTGGAGGGCATTTTGGAGGGAAGGATCATTACGGGAGAGGAATTTTGGTTTTAGTCAGTTGATTTTTTGTGAAAATGACAACCAAGAACCAGTAATTGAGCTGGGCTCTTCTATAATGTTCACAAATTATGGTTACTCTCAATGTCTTGCTGTAAGAATTGTCTTCCCATTAAATGTGGCTTTATTTTGAAATAGATTTTGAGCTGTAGTTTTAGTTTCAAAGAGAAGAGCTTGATTATGACTCACCAAGTTATTTATAGTAAGTCTCCCTTTATACCCCACATTTTGTATGTGTGTGAAAGAGACAGAGAGGGACAGAGGAAGCAAGAGTTCATTTCTTAAAACCAAAGAAGACTGCAATTACAAACAACCATCATGCTAACCCATCAGTGGACTTTATAGTTCTTACTCTGATTCTTCTAATTTGATGCTCATCAAATTCACAATTCCAAAACTATTTATCTCACCTTATGGAAGAGGTGTAATGAAAGGGATGCGGGCTGGGGGAAATAAAAAAGAGTACAGCTCACCCCAAAACTTCTTAAGAATTTTTCAATCATTGGTTCCATTCAAACAGTATTTTCTTTCAACAAAGATGAGTCAGGTTGTGGCTGAAAGAGTTCTAGGTGGGGTCTTAGTCTCAGCCCTGCCACTTTGGGGCTGGATGACTAAGGGCAAGTAGTCACTCTGTCTGATGCCCATTAATTTTTTTGTTTTAAATCTATGTGGGGATACTAGCACCAACCTCACAGGGCTTTTGTGGGCAGTCAATGAAATGACAATGCCCGCTTTCAGTACTTTGTAAAACTTTCACATTCTGTCACAATGTTAGACCTCATTGTTTTCTGGAAGACTGTTCAATTTGCTAGGACTTTATTACTATTCCTAAGATAAGATGGCTTTCTATACCTATTAGTTTCTAATATTAACTGTATTCCAGAATCCCTGGGTGGTGCAAATGGTTAACATACTAAGCTGTTAACCAAAATGTTGGCAGTTTGAATCCACCCAGAGGTACCTCACAGGAAGTCTGACAATCCACTTCTGAGAAAATCAGCCGCTGAAAACCCTATGAATCACAATTCTATTCTAACATATATACATGGGGTCACCATGAGCCAAGATTACATAACTGAAACTGGCATTTAATTAGTTATTCTAGTGTAAGAAGTCTTCCTTTCCATCCTCTCCCCTTTCAGTGATTATGGAAAATACATTCCTAAATATCCATATCCACAGCTCCCCATTGTTTATTTCCTAAGCAGGGACTAAGTCAGGTGGAAGAGTCACTGCTGGGCATATATTGTATGGAGGAGAGATGGCAGTGAGCAGAGAGTCAGAACAGAGAAGAGGCTCAAGAGATGGTGTAGTTGGGGTCAGAGGTGGGAACGCCTGGGGATGGAAAGGGACCTTGATTGATTGGAAGTGGGACAAGAAAAGGATGAGACTGGGCACAGGAGAGAACATGGTCAGAGCTCTCATCCTTATCTGTCAAAGGCAGATGGCACTAAGCCAAGTATCATGAGGATATGTCTGAGAAGATGAGCTCCAACCAAGTCATTGAGGCCTCATTTCAAAGCCACTATGGAAATGGAAGGTCTTTTCTGCTTTGAAACTCATCATTTATTTGACTATATAATACCCTTGAATTTGAAGATGACACTGAAAACTTACCTTCCAGAAAAGAGAAATCTGTTGTCTATTGTAGTCAATGTGCTGTTTCTTGTACCAGACATCTAAAATCCCATCAGGCTCTGTTTTGAAGGAGAAAAAAAAATTTATATGTATATTGGGAGTTCTGATGGCATAGTGCCTAAGGCACTTGACTGTTAATCAGAAGGCTGGCAGTCCAAACCCACCAGCCACTCCTTGGAAGGAAGATTGGGCAATCTACTTCCATAGAGATACCACCTTGGAAACTCAAGGAGCGGTTGCTATGAGTCACAATTGACTTGATGGCTGTGAGTTTGGTTTTATTTATTTTTTTGTATGTGCTGCTCTAATAGAAATACCACAAACACGTGGCTTTAATAAACAGGCATTTATTCTCTTACATTTTTGGATGCTAGAAGTCCAAATTCAAAGTGCCAAGCTCCAGGGGCTGAGCAAAATCCCCTCGACTTTGGGCTTCAGCTCTGCCTCTTGGTCCTGGCCCATTGGAGTTAGAAGTGTCTCTTCACTCAGGCAGCTGCTGGCTGCTGAGGCTAACAAGGTCGACAAAAATGGCACAGTCCCGATATTACCAAACCACACAGCAGGCCATTAGTTCAAGTCCAGAGATAGTTACAAGATTGGCAGGAAACATAACAGGTTGCTAAATGAAGATTTAGTATGGTCCAAGCATGCCAAAAAGCTGGAGACCTTTCTCAAATCCTTTCCCTTCATACTGGAAGCAGACTGCATCTCCAAGGCAGCAACTGAGCTGCTCCAGTAAATTCCACCATGGAGTGGATTACCAATCTCATAATGGGGAATAACTACAACCAGCTGCCCAGTCACTCAAAACCAGGCCCAGCCAAGTTGACACACAACCTTAACTACCACATATATCTACACAGATCAAACCTTTAAAAGTCTACTGATTGATTATTCAGCAAATGAATCTGAGAAAGTAGGATTATAGGACACCTTTAGTTTTTTTGTTTGTGTATATTCCAGTATTTTCCCTTTTTTCCCCTCCCCGCCAAAAAACAAAACAAAATAGTGGAGGAACATAACAGAATGGACATGTATATATTTGACCGTACATATCAGACTAAACAAGGATGGCACAGGACTGAGCATTGTTCCCTTCTGTTGTACATGTTGCACATTTGGTTGCTATGAGTTAGAAATGACTCAGTGGCATCTAACAACAATACCTTAAAAGCAATTTTTTTTGAAAAGTACCTACGTTAATAAAATAACTCAAAGAGATGTGTATGATTATTTCTATTTTATTGGACTGGAGAAAGAATTTGCAATGGAAAAGTAAAGATATAAATCATAATGAAAAATGGTTTTTGATCTTGAAAAAAAATACACTTCTGTATGTTAAACAAAACCTCCTTAAAAAGAGCAAAATATAACAAAAAAGGAAAATAAAATGGCAAACCTTATGTTCATCTCCATTCCTGAACCTATCATGTTGTATGTATTTAGTTTCATTATCATTGGATAATGACCTATTTAAAAGCAAGACTTATCACATTAATCTTAATATTCTGCATACTTATTAGCACAGTACTTGGAATGTATCAGGTTCTCAATAACTGTTAAGTAATGAACAAACAAATACTAATCAGGCAATATTATCTACTTGATGTAGAAACCCAGGCTGAACTGATAGACTAAATGACCAGCAAACTCTAAGACAATGGTCTAGCGTAACCTAACTTAACTTCAGAAAGTCAATCAAACCTACTTGAAAATAAATTTAACAATCAACTCTTGTGTGTGAATATGTGTGTAAGAGTGTGTGAGTGTGCGTGTGTGTGCACACACATGTGTGAAGTAGTTTCCTGCTATAATCGGTTATCTAGGAATCTGGCTCTGGTGGCATAGTGCCTAAGGCATTTGACTGCTAACCAGAGGGCTGGGGGTTCAAACCCACCAGCCACTCCCCAGAAGGAAGGTTGCACAATCTACTTCTGAAGTGATACTGCCTCAGGAAACCCAAGAAGGGATCGCTATGAGTAAGATCTGACTCCACGGCAGTGGGTTTGGTTTCTTTGGAGGAACTCTAAAGACAATTTTATTTGCTCAATGTTTTACACATATATTGTTCAAGGAATGAAATCAAAGTTCATTTCCAAAAAACCAAACCCACTGCTGTCAAATTTAGGTCTGACTCATAAAGACCCCTCCTTGGGTTTCTGAGGCAATATCACTTTAGAAGTAGATTGCCCAACCTTTCTTCCGGGGAGTGGCTGGTGGGTTTGAACTGCCAGCCTTCTGGTTAGCAGTCAGATGCCTTAGGCACTATGCCACCAGAGCTCCCAAAGTTCATTTAGTTAATATTAATTATTGTCATTAAGTCTTCAATATTTATTCTTTGTACACACTTTCTTCTATGATCTTTTTGTCACATCTAGTAATCACTTGGTGGAAGGAAGTTTGGGCAATCTACTTCTGTAGTGATACCACCTTGGAAACACAAGGAAGGGTTGCTATGAGTCGGATCTGACACAATGTCAATGAGTTTGTTTTTTTTGTTTTTGTTTTTGATGACATAGATTCAGAGCTATGTTTATCTCCCCTACACTGTATGGACTCTATTTCTTATCGTGCCATTTAAGATAAGATAATAAGTGGATTTGTAGACCAACGTTCCTTTTTCCTTTTTTCTGACAAAGTACAACTTTTTTTTTTATAAGTTACTTGTATTTGTTTTGATTCACAGCCAGGGATAGAATCAGTACAAACAACTCCTGAAAAGAGACTTCAACAGCACCCCTCTAAGTTCTTAAATAGTGAAACTTAATGTATATTTGAGGTGAGGCTACACTGGGTTTCTTTCTGATGCAGCAAAGTCCTTTTTACCAGATGGAAATTAAGTCCCCCTTGGAGGGAACAGAAGACAAGAAGCCTTCAATACAAGACAAGAAGTCAAGAAGAGGACAAGAGGAAAGGGGAACATGTACTGAGCACACAGTGTGCACAGGTCCTGTGTGGGCCCATTCACAAGTTCTGTTTCATGGCCTCCTCAGGCCTCATGATGCAGCTAAAATGTAGTCATTGAACAGTGAATTCCAGAGCCAGACTCTCTATGGACAAATCCCCACCTGAGACCTTGAGCACATGTTAACCAGTTTCTTCATCTGTTGAATGAGGATGATAACACTACAAATCACATGGAGCTGTTGTGGAAATTTAAATGAATAGATAGCACCTGACACATAGCAAGCAAGCATCAGTAAATTTAGCTGTTGTTATTTTTCTTTATCTGAAAACTGAAATGTACTGAAAAGTACTGAGAAGGTATTGCTCAAGGTCTCAAAATGAACAAGCAGAGTATTCAAGCTTCGGACACAGGTCTGGTTTATCATTTATTTTGCACCAAGTAGTGGTTTGGCCCTGAGCAAGCTTATGATTTCTCCACAGAGTGCTTCCACCCACCATCATGTGTGCCTCCTTCTTGTTCTAGTCTCTTCCTTTGTCACTTCCTCTTCCTGCCTCTCTCATCTACTGTTCTGTTTTTTCTACACACTCACTTCCTTTCCTTCCTAAAGCCTTCTTTTCTTTCCCCTGCCTTCCCACCAGTGGTAGATTTATTCTTGCATTAAAGACCTAAGAGTAAAGAAACGTTTATATAAGACATTCTGAAAATGCTCCCAACCCTCCAGGATTATGAAGAATGACCCACACAAATCAAGGTAGTGACTTCTGCTGGTCCAGAGGGAAAATTGAAAAAAAAAAAAAAATCCCCAAACAGAACAAAAAACCCACAAGCAATAGATGGGAAAAGGGACCTGGCATTTATTAACCACCTACTATGTCCCTGAGTGGCAAAAATGGTTAAGTGCTCCATTACTTGCCAAAATGTTTTTGGCTTCAATCCAACCAGATGTGCCTTGGAAGACAGGCATGCTATTTTTTTCCGAAAGGTGACAGCCTTGGAAACCCCGTGGAATAGTTCTACCGTACACACTTGGGGTTGCCATGAGTTGGAATTGACTTGATGACAACTAACAGCAAAAACAACTGTGCCCGTCAACAACAAGCACTTGGTAGCTTTATCCCATTTAATCTGCAGACAACGCAGCAGCACAGTTGATTACTCCTGTTTTACAGCTGAGGGCAAGAAGACTGCCAAAGGTTAAATTTATTCTTTATGAAAGGCTTACAGGTGGTAAACAGCAGAGCTGAGTGCTGAGCCCAGGTTTTGCTGCCTTCCAAGACCCTGCTCTTCCCATTAAAACAAAAAAAACCAAACCTGTTACTGCTGAGTAGATTCCTATTCATTGAGACCCTACAGGACAGAGGAGACTGCCCCACAGGGTTTCCAAGGCTGTAATCTTTGCAGCAGCAGACTGCAGCATCTTCCTCCCATGGAGTGGCTGGCAGGTTTGAACTGCAGACCTTTAGATTAGCTGCTGAGCACTTAACCACCGCACCACCACAGTTTCTTTCTCTTCCCACTACAGTTCACTATATTGAGCAAAGGGCTAAACACTTCACAAACCAGATATCAGACAATGAATATGTAATTAGGGTTTGGAAACTTGGGTGTGCTCAGTCTTAAAGCCAGGTAACTTGTTTCGTAGCATTAAATGTCTTCAGTGAATTACATTTTGGTAAGAAATTTAAGGGGAACACTTCTTGCCTCATTAAAAACCCACAATCTAGAAGATCATTAGGGAGCTAAAAATGGATTCTAGAACCTTAATTTCTTCAAAGGATAAATTACAAGTGAAACTTAAATTTCAATGGTGCCCACCTACAGTGCAAGTCTACTGGGAAACAAGTCATTAATTGCATCCGTATGGGTTTCAAAGTGTAAGATTTCATGACAGGGGATGTCAAACCACTACTGCTTAAAGCATCATTAGGACTCAAATTGAAGAGAAACCTTAACCCTTAACCTCAGTGTTATCTACCAAAAGACAAATATAACTATTATCATGGGTAAGTGAGAAAGAGAAAGTCAAAGGCCAATATGTTCAAAACAAAAGAGTACAAAATGTTTAAAAATACAAACATGAGAAATGAAAGGTCTCTCAAGCGTTAAAGAGGAAGAAGCCACCAATACGAAAAAAGTGATTCTCATTTAAGC